GCTGAACCCAGCTCACAGGGCTCCACCAGGCCCTGGAACAGTGTTCCCTCTAAGGGTGCGTCCACACTGCGGTGCTAGCTTGAAATAAGCCACCCAATCTGAGCTATGCAAATTGCGCAGCTTGTTTTGAGACGGTCTATTTTGAAAGTTGGCGCTGTCTATGCAGTGCCAGATTTCAAAATAGACTGTTGTTCTGACAAATCCCTTAATCCTCATGGAACGAGGTTTACTGGGCTGGCAGAGCAGCAAGCCTGTTACTTTGATTGCATTTCGAAATAACAGGTGTGCTGTCAAGATGCGGAACAGGCTATTTCAGGATATAGAATCATAGATCCATAGAGCTGGAAGAGACCTCAGGAGTCATCAAGTCCAGCCCCCTGCCCCAGGCAGGACCAACCCAACTAACTGAACCCAGCCAGGGCTTTGTCAAGCAGAGACTTAAACACCTCCAGGGATGGAGATTCTACCACCTCCCTAGGGAACCCATCCCACTGCTTCACCACCCTCCTAGGGAAATAGTTTTTCATAATGTCCAACCTAGACCTTTCCTACTGTAACTTGAGCCCATTGCTCCTTGTTCTGCCATCCGTCACTACTGTGAACAGCCTCTCTCCATCCTCTTTGGAACCTCCCTTCAGGAAGTTGAAGGCTGCTCTCAAATCCCCCCTCACTCTTCTCTTCTGCAGACTAAACAAACCCAAATCCCTCAGTCTCTCCTCATAGGTCATGCGCTCCAGCCCCCTAATCATTGTGGTCACCCACCACTAGACCCTCTCCAATGCATCCACATCCTTTCTGTAGTGGGGGGCCCAGAACTGGACACAATACTCCAGATGTGGCCTCACCAGAGTTGAATAAAGGGGAATAATCACTTCTCTGGATCTGCTGGCAATGCTCCTCCTAATGCACCCCAATATGCCATTAGCCGCCTTGGCTACAAGGGCACACTGTTGACTCATATCCAGCTTCTCATCCACTGGAATCCCCAGGTCCTTTTCTGTAGAACTACTACTTAGCCATTTGGTCCCCAGCCTGTAACAATGCTTGGGATTCTTCCATCCCAAGTGCAGGACACTACACTTGTCCTTGTTGAACCTCATCAGATTTCTTTTGGCCCAGTCCTCTAATCTGTCCAGGTCACTCTGGACCCTATCCCTGCCCTCCAGCGTATCTACCTCTCCCCCTAGCTTAGGGTCATCAGCAAACTTGCTGAGGGTGCAATCCATCCCCTCAGCCAGGTCATTAATAAAGATGTTGAACAAAACAGGTTCAAGAACAGATCCTTGAGGCACTCCGCTAGAAACTGACTGCCAACCTGACATCAAGCCACCTGCTGGGCCCGACAGTCTAGCCAGTTTTCTGTCTACCTTACAGTCTATTTATCCAAACCATACTCCCTTAACTTGCTGGCAAGAATATTGTGGGAGACCGTATCAAAAGCTTTGCTAAAGTCAAGGTACAGCACATCCACTGACTTTCCCATGTCCACAGAGCCAGTTACCTCATCATAGAAGCTAATCAGATTGGTCAGGCACGACTTGCCCTTTGTGAATCCATGTTGACCATTCCCGATCACTTTCCCCTCTTCCACGTGCTTCAAAATGGATTCCTTGAGGATCCCCTCCAGGATTTCTCCAGGGACTGAGGTAAGGTCTGTAGTTCCATGGATTGTCCTTCTTCCCAGAAGCATCCTGAAATAGTGCCGCACTGTAGTGCCTAATTGTTTCCATCCATGTGTGAAATAAAGTTTGTTCCATGCACTGAGGCATGTGCGGATGTGCACCACCAGTAGCAACAGCTGGGTGGCTGGGAAGCATTCGAACCTCTCCTGGTTGGCTTCCCCAGCGTGCTGCTTTCAGGGAACAGCGGTGGCCTACCGCCTCCCTTGCAGTCCTCTGTCCCCTCACACACTGGAAAGACCTGCAAGAAACTTGGCAGCCTCTGCTTCCTGCTCTCTGCAAGCCTGATTTTGGAGCACTGTAGCCTTTGGTGCCAGTTGTGCCCCCCTGCCCCAGCCGTAAGGAGGCAGCCAACGCCGAGGTCTCTGAGCTGGGCAATGTGTGGGAAGCTACAGTAGGGAGGAAAACCAGCCCGGGGGAAACCAGCTGCCCCTTTTCCCCAGCTCAACTCCCACCTCGAGGGCAGACTCCTACCACTTCCCTGCTCCTGCCGAGGCCACTGCATCCGGGAGAGGTTTGGTGCCAACGTTGCTTCAGAATGTGGTCAAGGTTTGGCCCCATGTGACTCACCCCAGGCCAGCCTAGAACAGAGCTTGGCTCAAATGCCGGGTCTTCAGCAGCCTCAGTGCGAGCATCACTGGCACCCAATGACTCCAGGGGGCGCTTGCAGGTGCAGGGGTCTTGCCAGAAACCTCCTATTGCCTGCTGCATTGAATAAAACTGCACAAGGCGCTTTGTCCGAGACAGAGGCCCTCAGCCTGTTTCTTTCTGAGCCGCCCCTAATAAACCAAGCAAACGCCCCTGTCCAGTCCCACAGCAGCCCTGCTTCTGCATCTCCAGGAGCAGAAGATTAAAATCCAGGGCTGGGCTTCAGGGTAACAAGCCGGGTATCCACCCAGGCCACAGAGCCCCACAAATCTAAGCTGCTCGGCTTTGGCTGAGCCAGCAGGGCAGCCCCCCAGGCCACAGAGCCCCACAAATCTAAGCTGCTCGGCTTCGTCCACACTGCGGTGCTAGCTTGAAATAAGCCACCCAATCTGAGCTATGCAAATTGCGCAGCTTGTTTTGAGACGGTCTATTTTGAAAGTTGGCGCTGTCTATGCAGTGCCAGATTTCAAAATAGACTGTTGTTCTGACAAATCCCTTAATCCTCATGGAACGAGGTTTACTGGGCTGGCAGAGCAGCAAGCCTGTTACTTTGATTGCATTTCGAAATAACAGGTGTGCTGTCAAGATGCGGAACAGGCTATTTCAGGATATAGAATCATAGATCCATAGAGCTGGAAGAGACCTCAGGAGTCATCAAGTCCAGCCCCCTGCCCCAGGCAGGACCAACCCAACTAACTGAACCCAGCCAGGGCTTTGTCAAGCAGAGACTTAAACACCTCCAGGGATGGAGATTCTACCACCTCCCTAGGGAACCCATCCCA